ACTTAACAACTTTCTTCATGGAACGGCGGACTAGTCGGTTCCTTGACGGGCAGTTGCTGGCCCTGCGTCCTTTGTTTCCACAAGTGTAGCACACGTCGTCACGACGGGAACGTCCAGGCGGATCCTTGCTACCAGATGAGCGTCTGGTACGTTGCGACGTTGCGGTCGACGTTGCTTTTTCTTCCGGATAGGGGCAACGGCTAACTTGGACGGGCGCCGGTGCAGATCCAATGAGGACAGCATCCCTGCACGGACTGATAGGCGTTGTAGTCGGCAATCAGGTCCTGCAGCTTGTAAGTATCAGTCTCGGCGTCCAGCTTGCTCAGTAGTCGAGCATTGGCATATCGCACGGCGATTGCAATCCCATAACGAAGAGCAAGCATTTCAGCGGATCTCCTTTCATTTCATCTGCTTTTGCATCGATTAGCATCTTGCTGAGTCGAGCGGCGTACGATTCGACGTCTTCTGAAGAGTCCTTTGCGATGTGAAGACAGTTCCATCGGCGTCGAAATATTGTCGTCCTTTCACCCAAAAGCGACGTTAGTACTTTCGTCAGCTCTTCGATTGAGAGCTCTAGTGGTGACATCGGTGCCAGCTGTCCTTTCAACTTGGCGTGTGCGGCATTATCCAGCTTCACAGACAGGAGGGTAGTACAGCGCTCCTTCTCTGGCATCGTTACAGGAACAATTTTTCGAACCTCGACAGCCAGCTTTCGAAGGTGCATCCGCTGTCCGGATCGTAGCTGAAGCACGGAAGCCGCGACGAAAGCGCTGAATAATCCGCCAGTGTGGGAGTGACTGCATGGTCCATACGTTTTAGAAGCTGTTCTATCCGCTCAGATTGCTCCTGGTTCGCCTTCAGGAGAGCAGCGGACTGCTCCTGGTTTGCCTGAATGAGTGCAGTGATAGGCTGCACCAGCGTGCGAGCACTTGCTCCAATGACTTGCTTGACACTGTCGCCATCCTTCCCGAAGGAGACGTGTTCAGCTTGTTCCTTATCCACTCTACGCGTATCGTCCAGTACTGATCGCCTTATTGTAGTCTTCTACTTGTACTTGTATTTGTGGGGGGTCCGAGACACTTGTAGAGTAGTGTATTTATTAGTAGACCGGATATGAATAAGCAGAAGATAAGACGAGACGAACGAATGACTTAGCTAGCAGGAGCCTTATATAGCGCTCAAATCCCGCGCATAGGTTAATACAACACCAATAGATCAGATCACTAGACAACAACGATACAAACAATAACAAATTTAATGCTACTCTCCAACAACTATATTCCTCAGAAGATGTGAATGGGAAAAATAATTACTAAAATGTATCCGTTAGTCATAATCTGGGCAAACTTACTCGAACAAAACATGCATGCATTTCCCATTCATTTTCATACTTATAAGCTTCTTCGAAAACAAATATAGAAAACACACTTATATAAAACGGCTTCGTTGAATTTTCAAAAAGTGAGGGCATGCATTTACTCCGTGGGTGCCTAACATCTGAAAAGAAGCTGAAGAGGCAATTGAAACAAAAGGTTTCGGACCTACATTTCACGACTGAGGCTATCGCACTAGCCAATAGACCACAGCGTAATGTCGGTATTGGCGTTTTGACCGTATTTCCCCTGAGCGACAAAACTTGGCGCGAAAATCCCTCACAACTTTTTTCAGAGAAACGATTAGCAGAAACAGAGGTTAGATTCGGAATTAGCGTTCCAAGACGAGTGTAACTATACATCTCATCTTGAAAGGCTAGGATGCGGAGTATCGTTCTCTTGTAAAAAAACCCAACGGGCCTTCAACTTGCTCACACAGCCTAACATGGTCCATGTGTATCAGGTTTCCAGAGCGTTCGAGCATCTGATTTTCAATAATTCTTTTACATAATGTTTTCGCTGTCCTTTGAAACACTGAATTCTAGAGCTGACTAAATTCTAGATTTGCACCATGAAGCGTATCAGCGGTCTTTTTTCTTGTGAGATGTGAGATTACGATGTGAGGAGTGTAAGCCTCTGATGAACTTCGTTTGAGAAAGCAAACAGGCAGCCTAAAAACTCTTCTACCAAGGTATAATTACAGTCATTGGCTTCACCTCATTCTGATCTTCCGCTTGTACAAACACATAAAAATTGAGTAGTGGATAGATTGAAAAGTCTTTACTGAAGAAAGTTACTTTTCCGAATTTTGTTGTTGATAGAAAGGATCCTCTCATGCTTTAAATTGAAAAAATATTCCCTACTAAACTTGGCCCTAACCAATCATTCTCTTTTAATCACTTTGAGAATGCTCATAATATAAATCTTCTTCTGTCTGTTGAGGCAACCGTCTTTCAAATCTGCCTTGATTTTCTTTTGATTGTCAAGGCCATCTAGCGCATTCGCAGCTCATTTGCGGTTTAAGCAATAGTCTGTTTAGATCAGAGTCATGGAGAGTGTTTGAAGCATGTGGCGTTTTCAGATCAAAGGCAATTTAATTGCGAGGGTCTAAGAATAATCATATTGTATAAAAATTCAAATGTACTGTGCACACGCCGTCGTCATTTGGTTGACAGATCCACACATTGAAGTCAATCTACTTTTTGCTTCCATTTATTCTGATGACAGATGCTGACATACCCGCTTACTTCCTCGAATTGCAAATTAAAATCCGACCTCTTCTCTGTTGTTAAAAGTTATTAGTAGGCTGTTCCATAAGTATTTTCATTTTTGAGTTTTCGCTATAATAAGTCACAGACTTCTTACTCTGAATAGGCATCAGGATATCATTCGATAGAGCAAAGCAGCTCTACAAGACTCATGCTTTTGCACCAGCTTCGATCCACCTCAAGTTCAAAACCAAATCCTAAAGAGTTTCAAATGCCCATATTGAAAATTTGTTCTATCTTCATTCAGAAAATTCTTAAGATCTCACTCGCTCACGCATATACACTCCACATCAAGCACTAGTATGTGCTGTTGCTGTCTTTTTTTAGCTAGTAATGAAAAACACGGAAATTTCCATATTTTCACCAAAGTGATGCTGTGCTTCTTACACTGACAGTTGTATACTACAAGTTAGAAGTGCAACTGTAATTTTCTAGCTCTATATAAGCTTTGGTTCCCGACAAATGTTGGTTTAAGCGTGAAAAACCCAAGTGAAGAAAGCTGAATTTGATATTTCTCGTGAACTAGGGCATATAGACAGCCAAAAATCTACAGCAGTACTTCTAAGAGCTTCTACTATACAATTGCTAGTGTAAGAACAGCACAGCACCACTTTGGTAAAAAACATGAAAATTTTCGGTTTCTTGATTTCTAGCTGATAAAAAAATGCAGCAACAGCACGTATGAATGTCTTATGTGGAATGTATATATGTGAGCGAGTTTGAGGTTTGTAGGTTTTTTTGAACGAAGATATAAAAAAATTTCGGTTTTCTGGCCATCCGAAACTTTTTAGATTTTGTTTTAAAACTCGAGATAGACCAAAGCTTGTGCAAAAGCATAGACGTCGTCTTATAGAGCTTGCTTTGCTCTATCGAATGGTTTCCTGAGGTCTATTTAGAATGACAAGTGTGTGACTTATTATAGCGAAAGCTCAGAAATGAAAAGACTTATGGGACAACCTAATATATCCAATGCTTCCTCGACCATGCTATTAGGCTATTACACAAGTCTTGTTACATTCAATTTCTTACGACGAAAAGTCGTAAACTTCATGATTTTAATGGGATTCCAGGGTACCATTCGATGTAGCCATGCAAGCTCTACAAGATAATATGCAAAAGTTCGCACCAGCTTCAACTCATCGTAAGTTTCACCAAGAGTCCGTATCGTACTGAAGGCTCGAAAATTTGGAAAAATTCATACCTTCGTTTGGAAAAATCCTCCGCATCTCCAACTTGTTCAAATAGATTGCACGCCACATCAGACACTCACATGTACCGTTGCTGTAGTTTTTCCTCATCTAGAAATCGAAAACACGAATATTTTCTTGTTTTTACAAAATCAAAGCTATGCTGTTTCTATTCATGTAGCTGTATGCTACAAGCCTTTAGAAGTATAGTCTTGAATTTTTAGCTTTCCATAAGCCTTAGTTTTCGAAAAATACCAAATTTAATTTCTCTCACTCAGGCGTTCAAAGCTAATTTCGGTATTTTTCGAAAACTAGGGCGTGTGGAAGCTGAAATTTTCTGGCTATACTTATAAAGGCTTGTAGTATACAACCACATGAATAGATACAGCATAGCTTTGTTTCTGTAAAAACAAGAAAATTCTTGTTTTCTCGATTTTTAGATGAGAAAATGATACAGCAACGGTACATATGAGTGTCTGATGTGATGTGTTATCTATGTGAACAAGCTGGAGATGCGGAGGATTTTTTTAACAAAAATATAAATTTTCTCAATTTTTTGTGCCTTCAGTACGCTCACTTTCGGATGCAAACTTATGGTGGGTCGAAACTGGTGCGAACTTTTGCACATTATTTCGTAGAGCTTGCTTGGCTGTATCGATTGGTACCCTGGAGTCCCATCAAATCATGAGTTTACGACTTATCGTCATAAGAAATTAAGGAGTGACAAGACTTTTGTAACAACCTATTAGATATTTCTTGATCGAAGTTTCTAAAACTTTTCTTTTCTAAAACCTAGCCTGGTAGTAACACGTTCCCTTTCCTTCTTCAACTACTGCCAATGTCGCTATCCAGCCGTATTTGGTAAAGAGTGCTTGGCTTTCTATTCTATCAATTTTTCTGATAAAATCTGCAAGTTTCCAAGAACCATCGTCTCCCCAAATATTCTCTTAACAGATACTGTAGAAAAGTTTGTAACTTGTACGCTTGTTCGACTGCCACGCGAGGCTTGTACGTTGATACCTCAAACTTGGGTAATTAAACCCTTTACCAATTTATGCACAACAATCCAATGAACAATTGTGTGAACAACTAACAAAATAACAAAATGATCTTAAGATACAAATGAAACAATGAATAAATTCACTTGTAATTTAATAAACTTGTGAGACTTGTCATTGATCCGCGTATTGTTCTTGCAATGCTGGCGCCTCCTTGTATAGCCTGCAGGGTCCATAGTAATCATCGCCTGATCCATCGCTTTGCTCTACTTGCCTTTGGAAGTCGCCTTTGGCGACACTCGCGTCCGGCGTCCGGCGTCCCCCGTCCGGCGCTTCTCCGTACATCCGATAGGGGAAAATCCTCAAAACTTGTTCCGGTTGATCAATATCTTCTAAGAGATTCCTACATTCTTCTTGTCTGTTCTTGATTTGTTCACTTGTCTCGTCTTCCCTCTTTGGTGGGACCTCAATCTCCTCGCCAGCTTCAACTTCTTGAATAAGGTGTCCCAGGTACTGCTCGTCATCCATAGACTCGTCTTCGTTCGTGTTGTCTTCATCTAGCAAAATAAGCGAGCCGTCTCTTCCACACGATAGTCCACCATCTCGCTGTTCCTCTGCCGACAGAGCAGGTCCGACATCGACTACTTCAGCTGCTTCCGTCTGAGTTTCAGCGTTGAAAACTTGGCCAACTTGACATCCAAAACTCGCGTTGTACAGCACGGGATGTTGCGCCGAAGTTAAACTGGCAATCTGGCTTTCGAACGGAAGCTTTCCTCGTCCCTCTCAACCAACTTGTCATTGAGGATTCTGATAATCCGCTTGTACGCCTCGCTTCTGTTCGCTGTGGTACGAAGGTCCCCTTCTGCAATGTGGTTTCGCTTCTCAATCTTTCTGATAAACTTGTCCATTCCTTTGATGTGTGCGTTCATCTCTCGCAATGCGGAGTCGTCAAAGTTGCAATCACTTTCTTCTTGCCCTTCTGGGTGACTGAGAGTGTAGCACTTGTTGAGGAGCGACTAACGCATGCATAGAGCTAGATAACGCTCCTTGCTGACTTTAGCCGCCAGGGTACTCTTTCAGTAATTATCAGCTGATCTCGAGGCTCTCCTTGAAACACTTGTTGGGGTACTTGTATGGCCGATTGTTGAAGCGCTGACATTCTACGCATCGTCTAATGATGCGGGTGACTTGAGCGCGTGATTTTGGTATCCAAAATTTCTGACGGACGAGTGCTATTGTGTGGCCTATGCTAGGATGTCCTCTGCGGTAATTATCACGGATTATCGCCTCTGAAAGCCAAGAGTTTTGGAGGATGATGTAATGGAACTTTGCTGTATCGTTTAAGCAGCTTTTCCCCATTCGGCCGTGGCATCTCCTAGGCCTTCTTCGTCTTGTTTTATGTTAAGTTGTGGCATTGATCTCAGTACTGCTTTAGTACAGAACGCTTGTTGATGTATTCGAATAATGATCTTTCCCGCTATTGCGATTTCTTCTCTTTCCCGCTATTGCGATTTCTTCTCCATTAGGGTCCTCTGTTTTGTGCTCAATGAACTTCTTGAGAAGGGGGAAAGATGGATGTTGTCGTTGAATCCTCAATTGATCCTGCTTACTAAGTTCTTTATGAACCGCAGAACTGTTGCTGTTATTCTCTTGATCGTAGGGAGTGGGTATCGTTTTGAATTTTTGAGAATGTCGGAGTATTGCGGTTCGTCAGCCTTTGAAACAGCTTGGTTGTAAAGTGCGGACTGGAGAGGCAAACTTGCAATTTTTTTCTATTGAACTTGCGATTTTTCCGGACAACACAACTGGTACGAGTCTATTGCATGTCGATCACCTTGCATTGCAGTTGTGATGGTTAGTAACAATCACTCGTATCGGAGAACTATCATAATCAACATGCAAAAGTATCGGCATACAATGGACTCGTAACAGTTGTCGTGTGGAAGAATCGCAGTGACGAAATCGCGTGATGTTCGCTCGCCCTTTGAGGAGAAGTAAATCTAGTAAAAACCCCGACCAAATCTGAGTGATGATCAAACTGAGATGAAGAGGGCAGAGCATAAACGTAGTAAACCTTCTCACGCAAAGGTGCTGACTAATTTGATTTCTTCCGGTAGCTGCTTGAAGACCGTATTCATTAACAAACCCAGTGAGTTGGCTTGGTCCACACTGGTACGAACATGGGCTGGTAGAGCGGAGCATCTAAAGGGCCGGGCATACTATTCCAGGATCTGATTACTGCGATTCCCGTGATTCCTTGAATCCCGGTGTGCCGCACTACGGAGCGCTTTGCGCTCTTCACTATACGTTGTTTTTTCGCAACATAAATTGTTGCGGTAGCCGCAGAAATCACAGGAATAGTACGGCCGGTCCCTAAGGATATCGATTTCCACCCACTGATTCAATCTACTAAACCCATTGGGTTGCAGAACTTCGTTTGTTGATGAATATGGGCACCGGAGACTACAAAAATCGCAACAACTTGCTTGCGCAAAGGCCATTATAAAAAACATAAAGCACGAGGATGTAATGAAGTAATAATGTGTAAAGAACATTAAAAAGATCAAAAATAACACAGAAAAAAGTACCTGCTAAAGCGGCGAAGGTGCTCAAAAGTGGGCTTTCTAAAATGATACTAGAAATGTTGGAAGAGAGCACAAAGGAATGGTTTTGGAACCATTCTTGGTCACCTAAAACGTAATTGATAAGCAAGGGCAAACTTAGTGTAAAACTGCAGAAAAAGAAGTGGATCATTAGCTGAAATATAACATTGGTTCTGACAGAAAAAGAAACGCGTATCCTATATGGAAACTCACTGAGAGCACTCGCTCTAAGGCAGCGTCCAGGCAAATCTGGACTCATGGAAGAAGTTTTAAACCCCTGATTGATAAGGGAGGGACCCGATGTCAAAATCGGCTTTCCACATGAAACATATACCATTTAAAGAACATCAAACGCTAATTCTAAAACTGACTTTGTTCTGCCAAGCGCTTCTATACGCTAAGTTAGGAGCGTTTTTTGGTTCGAACTTTTTCATAACATTTTCATAACTCAGCGTTCTTGTAAAAAAAACAAAGAGAATCATAGAATCAGCGTTTGATGCTCTTCAGATTGATGTATGTTTAATTGGAAAAGACAATTTCGCCTTTCCTGGTCCTCTCCTGGTAAGACACTACGTAAGACACTACTCTGGCAACAGTTCAATTGGTACCTCGCGGCTGAAATATTCACCTATACAGACTCTAGTATTGTAATAAAAACGAATTGCCTCATGCTTGTGTGATATATTTTGGAGGCAAATATCTCAGCTTTGAGTGAAGCATCCTGCTGCTTGGGCTTGGGCAGTGTCCTCGAAATGGTTTCAAAAGTATTTTCCACCTGAGACCTTCGTAGGCTCAGATGCCTTCAAATCAGCAAAAAAGAGCTTGAGATGGGCAGAGTATATAAACACATACGAAGAAAGGTGACCAAAACAAAACTTGTAAAACAAATCTTGTAAAACAAATCTACTCAGACTTTTGTCTTTCAAGAGCCAGAGTTCCATATGTTCGATTCCAAAAAAGAATGACTATTTTACTTTTTTCAGTAACCTACGGCGGTGATATGCAATCATCAAGTAAGAATTTACCTCATATACTATAAAAACCTGTGGGCAAAGAGAAATCAGATTCTGTATAATAATTTTGTGGGGGAACTAAATGATCTGAGCAGCTAAGTGATGACAGCAGCTTTCGAATGCCAAAATCGGACGCAAATCATGACCAAAGGCTGCTTACAGCCAATTTTTAGGTTTTTTAGGTTGCATGTCTCGAATTTTTTAAGCAAGTTCATGTAGGTAAACTTAAGACAGTACTCATCAGCAATTTACTGTACATCAACAATTTATTGTACTTACTATTAGGAAGCTAAAACGGCATTGCAGACTACCTCTTTCGCAAGGATTTACAGAGGAAAGGAATCATGAAGGTCAGATTTGTCGACCTTGCAAACGCTTTTGTAACAAGTGCAGGGCGCTTATTTGCAGGAGTATTTGCAGAGATTACCATTATAATTGTTTGCACTAGTATTAGGCTGGCACATAAGTTTTGCAACTTTTCCCGTAACTTTTTTCCTATTTTATGTAGCAAGCTCATTTTGTGGCATCATGTAGATCGTGATGTAAGCTGCAAGCGCGCGCAAACCGTTTGATTTGATAACGTAGTACAAAAAATCTAAGGATTTTTTGAAAACTGCTGAAAATCGAGGTTTCACGATTTTTTGGCAAACATGAAGCCCTACGAAACCTGATTCAAACATATGAAAAAGCAATTATAAGCAGCATGTAGCTGGAAGTTGGCCGGCAAAGTCCCATCGTCACCTCCCCGCGGTGCCGGCTGGCAACGGGGACCAACCCCGGCAAACGACGAGGGCACTGTCCCGCCAGGCGGAGCGACGCGCCGGGGACTGTACGAATCAGTCGTGTCACATGCATCGGACTATTAAGGAATTTTGTCAAGCTGCTAGGGCGTCCCCCGGAGGCGACGCGCGTCATTGCCCGCATGGCGCGAATAGTGAGCTAGGGCTACCTGCCCCCGGACGAGGCAGGCCAAAGAAGCGAGTCCAGGAAATCCGACTAGCGACGATCAATATAGGAACGCTGACGAGCCGCAGTCGGGAACTATGCGATAGGCTGAAGGAACGACACGTCGACATCGCATGTATACAGGAAACGAAATGGAAAGGGAGGCAGGCAAAGGACATCGGCGACGGATATCCCTTGTACTACACGGGAGATAGCAGCCGCCAGAACGGAGTCGCGATCATCGTCAACGGTAGATACCGCGAATTAGTGACCGAAGTGACGCGCATCTCAGATAGATTGATGGCGGTGAAGATCGAAGCAGATGATGCCACGCTCCGAATAGTCTCGTGTTATGCCCCGCAAGCCGCATGTACCGAAGCTGAGAAGGACGTGTTTTGGAGGGACTTCGACATCCTGCTAAGGACATTCGACGCTGCAGACTACATCTTCGTAAGAGGCGATCTCAATGGGCACGTTGGTCACGAACACTATGGATTCAAGCGATACCATGGTGGAAACGGATACGGTCAGAGGAATGAAGATGGAGAACGTATCCTGGAAGCAGCAGAAGCACACGACTTGGCGATAGCGAATACATTTTTCAAGAAGCGAGAGTCACATTTGATCACGTACGCGAGTGGAGAGCGCTCAACTCAAATAGACTACTGGATGCTGCGCCGATGCCACTTGCCAGTGGTGATAAACGCGAAGGTTATACCCACGGCGACACATGCATTTGCGCCACAACACCGGTTGCTTGTATTGGATCTTCGACTGAACATCCACTTGCGGTCACGAGCCAGAAGGACGACTACAAAGAGGATCAAATGGTGGAAGCTCCCCGAACACCGCCAGCAAGTCAGAGATGCTCTTAACGATTTGAGGGTGTCGACGGACGATAAGGAGTCGATTGAAGAGCAGTGGAATCGGATTACTTCGCAGATACGGTCGAGGGCCGAGACAATCTTGGGAACCACCAAGCCAGGACGCCGGTTTGTAGACAAGCAGATCTGGTGGTGGTCTGAGTCAGTCCAGCAAGTGATCAAGGAGAAGAAAGAAGCTTTCAAAGCCTGGCAACGCTCACGCTCAAATGAAGACCTCCGTCGGTATCGAGAGCAGAACTCGAAGGCGAAGCACGCGGTAGCCGAAGCAAAGGAAGCTCACTACAAGAGATTCTACGACGAGCTGGAAGGACCTGCTGGAGCGAACAAGGTCTACCGGCTGGCCGCGGCACGACATCGAGCGAAGCAGGACATCGACCACGTCATGCACATTAAGGACGCAGAGGGCAACCTCCTGACGAAGCCGAGGGCAATACTCAAGCGGTGGAGTGAATACTACAAAGGGCTATTTAATGAGGAGTTCCCGCACCCGTTAATACCGCAAGGAGCCCCCACATATGGACCGGTATCCCGGATCGAGAAGGCAGAAGTTGTGCAGGCACTGAGGAAGATGTCTAGCGGAAAAGCTCCGGGACCCGACGACATACCTGCTGAAGTGTGGAAGATGATGGGGCAGCGTGGAGCGGCATATCTCACATCGCTCTTTAACCGCATTATCGTAGACGGACAGTTGCCGCGAATCTGGACTACGAGTGTCACAGTCCCTATCTGGAAGGAAAAGGGCGACGTCAGCGACTGTTCAACATATCGACCAATACGCTTGCTATGCCACACGATGAAGATCTTCGAACGAGTCATCGACGCACGCATTCGAAGTATAGTGGAGGTCACCCCGAATCAATGTGGCTTTGTAAAAGGATCTGGCACCATCAACGCCATCCACGCGGTACGATTGCTAATGGAAAGGCATTTGGAAAAACGGATTCCGATTCATTTCGCATTCCTGGATTTAGAAAAGGCATTTGATCGGATACCGCATGGGCTGATCTGGTATGCGCTGAGGAAACACGACGTCCCAGAGGAGTACGTTCGCTGGATCAAACTCCTCTATACGAACACGACGGGCGCCATACGCTGTGCAGTGGGAACGTCAACGCCATTCCCAATCCAAGTCGGAGTACACCAAGGATCGGCTCTATCACTTCGCTTCTCTTTATACTGTGCATGGACACGGTGACCAAGGACATCCAGCTGCCGCATCCGTGGACACTCCTTTACGCAGACGACGTCGAGCTAGCAAGCGGATCGAGACAAGAGCTTGAAGAGGCGACTGTGAGATGGAAGACACGATTAGCGGAGTATGGCCTACGACTGAACGTAGCAAAGACCGAGTACCTGGAATGCGGAGAGCAAACCGATGGCACAATTAGCATCCATGGGCAGCCGCTGAAGAAGGTCACGATATTCAAATACCTGGGCTCCCGAGTGACGTCAGATTGCGACACGATCACTGATGCTCGTGCTAGGACGAACGCGGCGTGGCTAAAATGGCGGCAAGTAACAGGAGTACTCTGCGACCGACGAATTCCGTTGTATCTCAAGTCGAAAGTGTATCGGACTGTGGTGAGGCCAGTCGCACTGTATGGAGCCGAATGTTGGCCAGCAACCAGAAAACACGAGCAGATCCTGAGCACGATGGAGACGCGAATGATAAGATGGATACTGGGCCTAACGAGAAGAAACTGCGTCACGAACGATGATGTACGACACATTTTCGGAGTTGCACCTATCGCGGATAAGATGCGAGGTGCCAGATTAAGATGGTATGGTCACGCTTTACGAAGTGAAGATAATACAGTAGCAAAAACAGCACTTCGTCTAGATCCACAGGGGAAGAGACCACGTGGCCGTCCGAAGCAACGCTGGTTGGACACCATTCGAAACGATCTGCACATTGCAAAGCTCAAACCACAAGAAGCAGCTGGTCGAGTCAAATGGAAGCAAAAATGCACCACCGCCGACCCTGCACCCGCGGGACAATGGCGAAGATAAAGAAGAAGAAGAAGATGTAGCTGGAAGTTGGCACATTGGAATCAGTCAAAAAGAAATGAAATGCAAGCACAAATTAACGTGGGCGCCTTTGAGAAGTTGAACAAGTCAAATGCGTCAAGTTTTGAAGGCAATTTGTCAATAACTAAGCTGCGAAAAGTCAGAATTGGTTATAACTTTGCACTATAGGGTAATCCTATGCGGTAAACACAAATATCATATTCATTTGTCGCTAAAGTGAAATTCATCTTTTGATCTCACGAACGAGGCCTTTTCATGCGAAACGGATCTCATTTTTGTGATCAGCATGTCAAAGCCCTATGGGCCAAGTTTCAGCAAAATCTGATGCATTCTAAAATTTTTCTCCTAGTACCGTAAACCTACCGTAATCCTCACATAAGATGGTAAAATTCGGCAAAAATGTGTGCATTAGAAGCTTACATCATATTTCTTATATTGCCAAAAAATGAATGCCTGCGTTCAAATAGACAAAAGTTATATAAAAAGTTGCATTACTTATGTGCCAACCTAATAATTTGACTCAGTGATGGTAAAATGAGAATTTTTGTATTTCATCACTAAATGGTTATTTAGATGGTTTTTGCTGCAAAAAACTCAGAAGCTTTTACTATACGCTGATTAAGATCCTAACACTGAACTATACTAATGGAAAATAACCAGTTTTCAGTGCCGTTTCTCGCTCGGTATCACAACATTTCAGAAATCTTCACGAGCATAAAAGTAGGTGAGACTTCTACCCGCTGGTCCCTCTTTTGCCGATTGGGAGCTGCCTAGAACAAAGCATCAAAATCGCACGGGGTAAAAAACGAGTAAAGATAAGCAAACGATAGCGAAGAGCACTGAAAGCAAACAAGTAAATTAGATAGAATTTGCAACCGAAATGGCAGAAAAGCAAAATGCGATTAGCGCCTGCACTTTCGGAAAGTTGGCGTACTGTAGGCGGGTCCACCACGATTATCAGGTCGTGAACTTGGCGTACTCGAGTTCTAGTCTCGTACCATTTTTCTGCGTCTCTCACCATTGCCTACTATCTGAGGAGGAAAGTCGAGCTCGTGAACGAGCTCGTGAGATATGTCGTGTCTAAGATCACGAGCTTTAGCTCGAGCTTAGTTCACGAGCTGTGCTTGAAGTGATTCGACGAGTGTGTTGAAGGATAGCCGATGAGTTAATCAATGCATTGAGGAATGAAACTAAGCTCGAGCTTATCTCGCGACCTCGTACGTTAGCAAGTAGGGGGGATTACTACAGGCCCAGAAGTTGTCCCATTCCCAGACATCTCCATTGAATGTCGGGATTGGAAGTGTAGGTAGCTAACCTTTTGCTTTCAATCATGTCATCCACTGCCGCACTACTTGTGTCTTTCGTTGGGTGCAAAGACGCCCTAGCATAGGACGTAAAGGCGCTTAGTCAAGCTACCAGAAGAACTGTGTAGTCCAGTGAGGAGCAAAGTATTGCCTCCGCCTTACTTGTATACTCGTCGAAGTCCTTTCTTTCTTTCTCACTAACTTGTTCGCACATATCAACTGTTGCCGCGTATCCCCGCACTTGCTGTTGTAACTTAGTAGTGCAGGTCTCAATAGCCCCTATTGCTTCTTTTAGGCGCCTACGACATTCTCTTAGGAATGTGGGTGTTAGCTCTTCCGTAGGAAGCTAACTGTTTTAAGATTTTCGTCTTTGCGTGCTATGACTGATTTTTAGCTTGCTGCAGTAGCGCGATGAAAAGCGCTTGTATGTAGAAAACTGAGCCGACATTTTCTGATAACTTAATGGTTTGTGCTCAAAGCGTGAGTGCAAAAATGTGCGCACTGTTTATGAGCGACGAGACCTCGATCGGAGAATTTAAATAACATGCGTGCCAATATTCAAAATGCAGATCAATCGTCAGTTTGGATGCTTCAGAGAATAGAATTTTTCAATAATGATGAGCATCAAGCAATTTTGATAACGCTATACTTGTAGATTGTAGAAACAGTTGCCAGCACTGTACTTGTAGATAACTTGTAGGAACAATTGGTAGCGCTATACCTGTAGAAACAGTTGTTGCAAAACTTGTGGTAGAAACTTGAAATTTGTAAACCAATTTGGTTCCGAGCAAAATCTGCTTCCTTTGAGCCGATGCACCAGTTGTAGAAAAGTTTTTAACTTGTACACTTGTTCGATTGCCACGCTGGGCTTGTACGTTGATACCTCAAACTTGGGTAAATAAACCCTTTATCAATTTATGCACAACAATAACAACGAACAATTGTGTGAACAACTAACAAAATAACAAAATGATCCCAAGATACAAATGAAACAATGAATAAATTCACTTGTAATTTAATGAACTTGTGGAACTTGTCATTGATCCGCGAATTGTTCTTGCAATGCTGGCTCCTCCTTATATAGCCTGCAGGGTCCATAATAATCATCGCCTGATCCATCGCTTTGCTTTACTTGCCTCTGGAAGTCGCTTTTGGCGACAGATACCTACATAGGTACTTACAATTAAATGACCCGTCTTCGCGTGACGTGTGGGCCTCAACACAGAAGTTTTCAGTGACTCCTATCTCTTGCTTCAGACATCCACAATCGGTCTTCCTGTTATCGTCCGCGGCTGCTTCCACGAGTTCGAGGCACGAAAATGATATCTAGCTAATTTTTCGGCCGGTCTAACCGTTTCACGAATACGTCTGTTCATCTCGTTGGAGTTCTTCCTCGAGGACATTTTCCTTGCCGTATGAGCAGCCCCCGTGACTTTCTAAATAGCGACCTAATATGAACTCTCTAGTGCTTTATGCTCCTACTACTTATCTTTTTTGAACTGACCAGTTGTCCTGTTTTCAAGTTTCTTCTCTTGAAAATGATTGTTAAGCAGCAAGATGGAAACATTCACAATTTCTCTTTTATTTTCAAAGCAATTTGTAATAAGAATATCGTGCTCATTTTTCTTTTAATCATTATACACTTCGAATCTTGATCTCTGCTTGTCGCTGTTTCTCGATACTGCTTTTGTTTAGAAATCATACATGTCTTCAGCCGATATTTAGGGATTTCGCAGTTTCGCTAAGCATATGTTGCACCTTATAGTCGTTTCCGCACTTTTGGGTACAGTGACATTCGTAAACGGTGAAATGATGGCTGGAGGAAAACAAAATCAGGATCCGAGAAATCCCGTGTTTATGGTAGATTTTTTTATTATTTTCAGAAAGTTTCTAATGCTTCAGCCTGTAATTTCTCTAATGCAAATTAAATTGGAATTGAATCAAAGCACGTTTCTCACGCTAGCGTGTCCGAGCAATAATCTTGGGAACATGTCATTTACCAGGGGAAGTAAGCATTACAAGATGGCGTCTGTAATTGATACGAACTCTGATCCAGGTGAAGTTTGGAGCAACTTCATACAATTTGATATCTAATGTAATCTTCAATCAAAAAAGTTCCTTAACATTCAATTTGACCAAGTATGCACTCTCAACATTAGACAATCACTCGCTATATTTCTCTAGTAGCTAAAGCGGTATAAAGGACAAAATTTCGAAAGATTTGCTTCTTTTGTATTTTATTAGGTTGAACCGAAAGTTCTGTCGTTTCATTTTCAAAAATCTGTAACTTCAAGAGATTTGAACGAATTTGCTTGCTTGTAATTTTATTAGATAGTTAGGTTTTCCGCTTTCAATCGCTGTTTCCTGGATCTCCTGTTTCACCTGAATGCAGAGATAAAAATGGAAAACTAAGACCATGTAAACTTTGACCATTTTGAGTTAGGTCACCAAAAATCTGGAATGCTGCAGAAAAATCTGAAATCGTCAGTACATATGTTTTTTGCCCTACCCTTTGCATCCGTGAAAAGTTTTTGCTGTTTGGACGTCTCTTTGAGAAGTTATGATTTTCGCGAAAATTGACAAATTAATTAATTTTTCCATAGTAAACTCGACTCACAACTTCTCACAGAAACGTCCAAACAGCAAAAACTTTCCACAGATGCAAAGGGTAAGCCAAAAAACATATTACTGACGTTTTCAGATTTTTCTGCAGCATTCCAGATTTTTGGTGACCTAACTTAAAATGGTCGAAGCTTATATGGTCTTAGTTTTCTATTTTTATCTCCGCACCCAGTGTGAAACAGAAGCTCCACGGAACAGCGTTTGAAAGCGAACGACTCTTTCAAATAAAATTACAAGCAAGCAAATCCGTTGAAATCTCGCGAAGTTACAAATTTTTGAAAATGAAACGACAGAACTTTCGGTTCAACCTAATATATAAGCTCCAAAATTTTCGAGTTCAGCTCGGAAGGCTGGAAAAATATGCATGCAATTTTGTAGGGCTCGCTTACGTAGGACACCTGGCATTGCATCAGCAAGAGCTCGAAAGTTGAAAAATTTTGTAACTGGAATGTCTAATGATGACAGGACATGTGCGCGCAAGTTGTAGTTTCGTTAAATTTTCTTGGAAAAGAACCGATTTCAGAGCATTCAGAATCTTTGAGTTTTTGACTACAAACTTCGCGTGGATCCGTCTTTGTGCGTCTTCCTTTCTTATTTTCTGGCGCGATAGCGAGAAGAACGTGCATTATATCTGCATCAAACTACACCTGAGTATGGCTGTTTTTTTACTTTTCAGAACATCGCATGGAAAGCTGCAAAAACGCTTAATGAAGACTCCGCTGCAAACTTTGGACTCTATGCCATGATGCCGATTAAGGTTGCATAGTTTTGACATCCCACAATCATCATCAAAGATGACAAATTATACAATGGGGTCTCGATCCATTTACGAGTATCTCACCTCGTTGTAGTTTGAATTCAGTTATTAGTATTCAGTTCAGGTAGAATACGGCATCTTTTGTTGGATCGCTTCCCTACTCAGTTTATTTTTGGGAAACAAATAATTATGTTTTCGTCTAAGCCATCTATTGATAGAAAAAATTTTTCCTGACGATGTCGCATCTAGCAGCATGTCATGTAGCTCCAATTTGCAGGTTTTGAAAGCCCAAAGCCAAGTCGTTGCAGGCTTAATTTACGATTTGGAAGTACTTTATGGAGAATCCGATTGTAAGAAAAACGTAGGTTTCCTTCGCTGCATACTTGAAGCAAACTTTGCCCCTTGAATTTTTACAATGATTTGTGCAATTGCTTATTTTTCAGATTCTATTACAGAAAACACCCTTGGCTTTGTTTTTGACTGCAGGTCATTCATCAAACAGTCGATAATTTTTACAGGAAGTTGACCTCGCCAGAATGCAAATGGCCGGCTGCAGAGCGATGAGTACAGGAAATAAAGCTGTTAGTGTTCAACAAATCTAATATTCTTGGAGAATTACTAAATATCATTCAGCTGTACAAAATTCGCTACTACGCCAGGCCATGGCAGAATTATGAGCAGATCAGCGTGTCGAAAGTGCAGGTTTTGATATCCTTTTAAGAAAAAAAACACATAGGTTGGGAATAAGAAACTTATACAGGGTTGCAAAATGATATGGTCTCAAAAAGATGTGCACACTATTTGATCGTCAATAACTTTCTTACATGAACGTCTTTCGCCGAGCTTGACTGATCATGCTATAAAGCGAGGTTCAACTTAGTCCTGCAGCATGGAATAAATCTGAGAGGGTTTTTTTCATTACTGTAGGATTACGGTAGGAACTTCGAATAGAATTTTTGGCCATTGAAAGCAATATTTTGCCTCAGAAAGAAAACGAAACAAGCCAAAAACTTTTGAACTAAGACAGCATTTCTTTCATAAGTTGGTTCAAGTCTAGGGTAACACCTGTTTTCCACTGCTTGTCTGAAATGTGACTACACCAATAAAAAAACTCGAAATGGCAAGAAACTGTGTGGTGAAATCAGCAGCTTGAAAACTTTGATACACTAACCTTCTTATCAAAAGGCTTATTCCACACCAGCGCTGCATGCCGATGTTCCTATCGTAATTCTACAACAACGAAGAAACAGCGGAGGTTCGTTTTATGCTGCACATATAAGTTTAACCTTGCTCTACTGAATGGAAGCCGAAGCTCGGCGACAGACATTCAAGCAAGAGAGTTATTGACGATTCAACAGTGTGCACATCTTTTTGTGACACCCTGTATATCAGTGAGTATTCAAGTGGCATTGCGCCAGTGCGGCATGAATCGCGTATTACAAATTTGTTCCCATTATATACAGAGCGTATTCCTACAGACAGCGGCTTGGAACTTTTTTTTGCAAAACGTGGAAATTGTCTATTAGTCGGAAGGGATGGTGACGTTTTCTTCGATAAAGAGCAGATATTGCTCTGATGTAAGCTGCTAACTACAGCATACCTCGAAAAGTTTTTTAGAAGCTGATTTAGAGTTCAGTTAACCAGCATATGTAGAAACAGTTCGTTTCAAGTGTAATTTTCTGAACACCTAATTATTAGGTTGGTGCGAAAATAATGTCCGCAGCTAACGGGTTCATGATGCTAAGATAAATTTTTCTCGAAAATCGAAACCTATATAAGGCTGTGATTTCGTCATGTTTCTATAGGCTTGTAGTATAAAATACCCCGAATTAAAGAAAAATGCACTGAGTACGGAGCAGGGCTCGGCAGGTGGCTTACGGGACAAGCTGGATATCGTTTTAGAATAAAAAGCAAGGGGGATTTCGTTGAAGTGGAAACCCCAACCTCCCCCCCCCACACACACACAGTCGCCTTCTGCCGTTATGTCACCCATTTTCTAGAGAAGAAGCATGTCATTTCTGTTTTTTCGATCTGCAAACACCAAAAATTTTCTGTTCCAACCTGTTCGCCGGTTAAGCGCGAGTTGAAACCTGCTACGAAATAAACAAAAGACTGTTTACGAAGAGAAAATGAAATGACACCAGTGCACGGTGTGTAGATGGGCAATAGGGAGCTGGAACTATGTGCGAAAAATTATGAAAAAATTATGTGAACTGAAAGTTTTTGAAACTGAAAGGTCCACCGCTGTTAAAAGTCACACGCCATATTTGATCCGCTTGATCCGCTTGACCCAGTCCATCCATTGTACTATTTTTAAATCAGTCACTAGACCAATAGCGAAGTGGACCAAGTGGATCAAGTGGGTCGAGTGAATTGGGTATCGGATTGCCAAATAGAGTTATGAGCGTTTGCAAAAATTCGATGTGTGGTCGAGAATCACCTCTACTCAGATTGTGATCGTATACCAGTTTTAGCAACAGGAACATAACTCGGATGTATGGAGAATTCCATAAAGTAGATGGTGGTGTCCAATCGGCGACAGCAGAAAGATACATCAGCTCACAAAAATGTTTTTGCAAACGCTGACTTTGCCAAAATGCTTACGCAAATTACAGAATAACGCAATGATGGCAGGCGGAAGACAATATCAGGACCCGAACAAGCCCGAGTATATGGTACGTTTTTGTCAAACCATTTTCAACTGTATAATATGATCTTGACGATTGTGTTTTAGTTTAATTTTGTAGCCCTTCAGATTACCATTCAGGAAATCGCTTGGAAAGCTGCGAAAACCCTCAATGAGGACCCTATTGCCAATCCTGGCACGTATGCCATGATGCCAATCAGGGTTTGTTTAGCATCTTGCCATCTCTTATTGAACATTTTGGTAAAAGCACACCATAATATATATATATATATATATATATCAATTTCCTGTTTGTTCTCACGACATAAAACAAGCCTAAAATAGTGTGATCTCGGAAAACTTCACATATACATCCGCCACGCATGTACACCCCATTTAGAGAAAGCTAAGCTTTTTATCGACAGACTAAATTGCCTGCTTTTGGCCCCGTTCTTTTTTTGAATACTATGTCCTGTTTACTACCGCTTTATGAGCACGGTTAGTGTGCAACTCTGAGACTTGCTTTTCACCTCGATATATGAAATCCGCTCCTTCGTGCTTCATGTAAATGCAAGTCCCATATAAGTCAACATTCTTAGAGGCAACAGTTGTTGAATTGAATTTATTCCACGCAGATTTACGGCTGGCATTTGAAAATTTTTAGCCTATACCACAAACACGAAAATACTTTTGATTTTCGCAAGCAAAACTATTGATGCTCTTTTTCCTAAATTAATTTTTTGAAATGATGACTAGTTTCATATTTGAAGCTTAAAATTTACCAAATAAAATGATCACTTGAGAAAGTCCGATTGCGTTTTGAGTGTGTATTACGAAGGTGCATATGGGAAGCTGGCCGGACACAAACTACAGCTAGGCTGTTTCAAATGAAGCTTTCGCAGTTACAAAAAAACATCGTCCTACTCTTTTCGCACTAGTTCAATGTTTCGCCTAGCGTTCAAGATTGTAATTTTTTGACCAATTTGCAGGTTCTGAAAGCACAGAGCCAAGTCGTCTCCGGAGTTCTCTATTACTTGGATGTCCTCTATGGCGAATCCGGTTGCAAGAAACAAGTAAATATTTTAATACTTGACCACTAATTCCCACGCGCTCTTGCCTTGGACCTTTAAAGGAAGGTAACTTAGCTTTGTCTTCTGGAATGAGACATATTTTCTGGATCAGCTTCAAATGCCAATTCCGATTGTGTTATTCTTGGCTGCAACGCCTTATTTTGAAGCGAGTTATGAGCTCTCTATTGTGCGAAGGTGGCCTATGTACTACTCAACATGGGAAACTGCCTGTAAGTAGAAATTATCTCGAAAACAATCTGGGATGTCAAGATAACATCAAATCACTTTTCTCACTAACAAGTTTAGCGCAAGTGCAATACTACTTAGGTGGTGATATTATGGTGCCAGTTCAGTGAGAGTGCAAACTTTGCACAGAAAAAGTCAATAGCTCGCTCGAGACTGATGCACCGCACCTTGGTATAGCATTATTCATCAGCTTTTGAAGCTATTCAGAACTTATATGCCCCAATCCAAATGGTAGAGCTAAGTTAGATGCCTCTCCTTGTTAGGTTTTTTGATTGCGTTCATGTCGAGTTACTATTAGGCTCTATATTTGACCACATCTTGATATCTTTTACATACAGGAAGTTGACCTTAGCAAATTGAGTATGGCCAATTGCAAAGTGATGAACAGAAGCAACAAAGCGGTCAGTGCCTAGCATTTTTAGCATTGTCTCCTTTGAAAGCTTTCCTTTTTAGATTTATAAGATCGAGTATTATGTCATACCCTGGAGAAATTATGAAGCGATCAGGGTGACGAAGATGCAATAATTTTCAATTTCCCATTTTGGAACATACGCTCTTTGCTACAAAGTATATCTATGTGAATAAAATTTTACTAACGCAGGGCTCCTCTGTTGAATGCAACTGTCAGACATGGTCTATTGGAAAAGCAACAAGACGTTTCTTTATAATATAATATTTGATTAAAATGAGTACGATTCACGTTGAAGTCGTTAAAAAAGAGAACTACGTCAAAACGCAAGTCGACTAATTGTTCATTAAGAGACCTTCTTTGAAAACTGGCATAAAGAAGAGAATTTGGTTTGAGGATTCTCTTAGTCTTATGACTATATTAGTACCAAACAAATGTGTGAAAATACTCTTTTGAAATTGGTTGAACTATATTGTTGGTTTTCAAGTAATGAAAAATCTGACTGCGTGTACTTCGGTTACTTCGATTGAGAAAAATAAAATATTGCCCAAATACCGTACCAGTACACACTATCATATGAGCAGGACGAGAACCAGTGCAACGGTACGGTAAGAAAAACAAGAATTTGACTGTGTTCCCAATTTCAGTCTTTTATTGAATTCGGCACTCCTAGCGCCATGGACATTGAGAAAAACGCAGAAGTGTCTTCTCTGCTAATCTATACAGTTTTGGTTAAGAAAACTCGATGATTCTGAACCAGAAGCTCGATTACGCTTTCCAGACTTTTATCATCAAGCTTATTGAGATCTATCACATCTTGATTTACAAATCAAAATTAGAGAAAGCAAGCCCTGTTTTCTTCGGAAGCAAAATATTCGCAAGGTTTATCGATCCAGAAAATAGATTCATATTGTGTTGGTTTTTCATGCGAGACGCAGGTGCTTCTCGCTTAGACACAATTTATAACTGGAGGAATGAGCAGACGATAATGGCAAAAGTGCACGAGATAGAGGGAGGGTACGCATTTGAGCACAATTTTACCTATTTCGCGAAAAGGCTGATATCATACTTGTTCTCAAAGGACCATTGCAGTTTACAAAGAAATGGAAATCCTTGACTTACATGCTTCAACGAGAGCCCACATTGCGTAGACGTCCACGATTATGCTTCATGAACATATAAATTATATTACAAATCGTGGATAAGATGAAATGCGGTGCATATGGGAGTGTTGAGCAATAAAAACGGCTTGTAGATTTTTTTTTCGAAAATGAAGTATCGCCGCAGAGCGTTTTTGAAAGTACGACCTCTGTTTTCTGGGACTTTTTTCAGTTCCAGGAAGATGTGTAGCTGAGTGCTATCTTTTCAAGAATGAGTCAGTATGGCAAACTCTCATATTAGCAAAATCTTCTCATTGGATCAGAAAAAGCGAGTACAAACAGGCATAAAAGTGTTACTGATATATACTGCTGTACTGCCAATAGGCGCTGCTGCTGAAAAGCTTTACGGCTTTACGGTAAGGAAATGGTTTTTTGTTACCCTTTCTGAGTTAGTTGTTTTTCAAATTTATATGTAAGCTTTGACACTTCCAAAGTTTTGACATGCGAACGTGCACACACGCACCCAGAGAGAACAGCAGGCACTGTGCTTCATATAGGGACAAACTAGCAGCGACGACGGCGTGCGTCAAATAGACTTCCGTTATTTGTTTATGTGAATAGCAAAGAGAGAATGGATATCTCAAAAGATAATCCTAAAACGTCGCTATTGTCGAATCGTAATGACCCCTTCATTTCTCATCTTCATGATTGTGTTGAGGAAGTTGAGAGCCCCTGAAGTACGAGGAAGCGTATGTCAACGGAGATTCTAGAGCTAACACGCCAACGTGGACGGTGACGAGCTATAGGCAATTACCAACTCAAGTCTGAGCTCGCGAAGAGATGCAGAGAAGCGATAAAAGAAAACCTCAAAGAGAGAAGAGCACCATGAATGGTTGGAAACCGGAGAAGTATACGCAACGCCCTCCGAAGCATCGTCAAAATTAAGGCCAAGATGACCGCACTCCACCGCCCTGATGGAACACAACCTCTTCCCGAAGTTCGATGGAGAAGGTCATCCACAATTCTACTCGGATCTCTTTGCGAGTCACCACTATACTATCTCATAGAGAAAAAATATGTTACACCATAATCTTCCTTCAGAGGTTCGACATGCTATCATGTCAATAAAGAGCCGTAAAGCCGGGCATGATAGAATCAACCCGGATCACCTAAAGAATCTCTCAACAGTTGTTATAGAACTCTGGCAAGGCTCTTCACGCGGACCTGAAGGAGGGCACATTTCCAAGTCAATGGAAGACCAGCAAGGCCGTGTTGCTGTACAAGAAGTGAAACCCCCGCGACATTGCAAATTATCGCCTTGTCTGCTTATAGTCTACATACGCTGCGTACGCCGCGCAAACTGGCCCAACCTAAATGCTCTGATAGGGCGCTAACTAATTAGTGACATCTATGCACTTATCCTTTCAATTCAATCAATTTTGTGGCAATTGAAAGCGTCTCCACATCTAGCGCGAAAGGTTTTAAGCCATAGATTTCGTCCGCCAAAGATTATTCTGTGAGGAAACTTATGGGGTGGCAGCCACGCTTTTTTCTAAACTTGGGCTACACACCATTATTTTTGCTAGGGAAAGCTTCCAAAAGATGACCAGTACGTGATTCAAAAGCTTGAGTTTTTACTTTATACAACAGTGAGTCTCGATCCGCTTTCATCTGAGTGACTGATTGCTCAAATTCACAACCATTGAAAGAAATTGCGGTAAAGGAGAGTGTGGTTCAGTTCCTTTTCCATGGTTTATAGGTCATTCGAATTAGGCTTCCTTATGTGGATTGAGGACGAGTGGTGCTTCCAATGCAAAAGGTAGCTAACACAATTGACCTCAGACTTCGCTTGGTTAACAAAGGTACATGTTCATTACGAAGATGATACTTTCAATACTAGCGACCCTACGGGTCGCTAGCAAGTGGGTCGAGGCAGATACAATATTAGGCTTATTAATGCCTACAAATATCTCTACATAGATCTCCTGCTCCTTTTCTAAAAACATCTTTGTGAAAAGCATTAGAAAGAAGTACTGCTCGGGGATAAAATTCATAAATCATTCAGAAAGCCCTGTCATCCCAAAAGCACTGCCACAAACATGCGAGATTACGGAAAAATTTTCCAGTTACCACGTTTTCTCTGCAAATTGCGACTTATGGGTCGCTAGCAAGTGGAGACAGATAATTTCAAGAGCTAAGTGGCCCTACGGATCGCTAGCAAGTGGGGGCAAATATCTTCTATTGTTAGGTGAGCCTACGGATCAGTAGCATATGGGGACAAATAATGTCTAGAGCTAGGTGACCCTACGGATCGCTAGCAGGTGGAGGCAGATATTTTCTATTGCTAGGTGACCCCACGGATAGCTAGCAGGTGGGGACAGATATTTTCTATTGCTAGGTGACCCTACGGATCGGTAGCAAACGGGGACAGATAATGTCTAGAGCTAGGTGACCCTACGGAGAGCTAGCAAGTGGGGGAGGGGCAAATATTTTTTACTGCTAGATGACCCTACGGATCGCTAGCAGGTGTGGGCAGATATTTTCTATTGCTAAGTGACCCTACGGATCGGTAGGAAATGGGGACAGATATTTTGTAGCGCCCAGATGACCCTACGGATAGCTAGCAGGTGGGGGCAGATATTTTCTATTGCTAGGTGACCCTACGGATCGCCGGCAAATGAGGGCAGATATTTTCTATTGCTAGGTGATCCCACGGATCGCTGGCAAGTGTGGGCAGATATTTTCTATTGCTAGGTGACCCAACGGATCGCTAGCAGGTGGGGACAGATATTTTCTATTGCTAGGTGACCCTACGGATCGGTAGCAAACGGAGACAGATAATGTCTAGAGCTAGGTGACCCTACGGAGAGCTAGCAAGTGGGGGAGGGGCAAATATTTTTTACTGCTAGATGACCCTACGGATCGCTAGCAGGTGTGGGCAGATATTTTCTATTGCTAAGTGACCCTACGGATCGGTAGGAAATGGGGACAGATATTTTGTAGCGCCCAGATGACCCTACGGATAGCTAGCAGGTGGGGGCAGATATTTTCTATTGCTAGGTGACCCTACGGATCGCCGGCAAATAAGGGCAGATATTTTCTATTGCTAGGTGATCCCACGGATCGCTGGCAAGTGTGGGCAGATATTTTCTATTGCTAGGTGACCCTATGGATCGGTAAGAAATCGGGACAAATACTTTCTAAAGCTAGGTGACCCTACGGATAGCTAGCAAGTGGGGGGCAGATGTTTTCTATTGCTAGATGACCTTACGGATCGGTAGGAAATGAAGACAGATACTTCCTAGGGTAGGTGACCCTTCAGATCGGCAGCATATGGGGACAGATAATATCTAGGGCTAAGTGACCCTACGGACCGCTATCAAGTGGGGGCAAACATTTTCTATTGCTAAGTGACCCTACGGATCAGTACCAAGTGGAGGCAAATAATTTCTAGAGCAAGATGACCCCACCTATCGGTAGCGGGGCTGTAGAGCACAGTGACCCTACGGATCGCTAGCAGAGTTTGTAGAGACAGGTGACCCTCGCTAGCAAGTGGGTAGGGTAGATAATGAGCCTAGGTTGAGGACAGATATTTTCATAAGGTCAATTTTTGCACACATCGTTCTCCCATTTGGTCATTGAAAACTCACACCATCAAGGAAATGAGCACATCAGTGCTTTGGAAGATTACAATGTGGCTGTTGTGTGTGAAGCAAAGAAGTGCTATATAAACTTGGTTTTCCTCCATTTTATGGAAGTTTTTTTTTAAGTGGTGGGCCAGGTTTTCCGATGTTTTTTGAAATCGCTGCAAAATAGGAAACCTACATTGCAAAACCCTTAGTGAAATCATTTTACCTTCTTTCCTAGAATCTTGCCACCGTTTGTGGCTTTAGGTATCAAATTCATCTCTTTTAGGAACATTTTGAAAAGCCCTTCAAGTCCAATTCATCAGAAGATTGGTATAAGAATTACAAATAACGAGCCTTCGCAGGTGCATAGAAAAGACTCGTTTCCATTCTCAGTATTTTGCAATTAATTAGGTCGATGCTAAAGTTTTATCAGTTTCAATCCACCAGCACATACGGTAAAGTAAA